TTTTAAATGGTTGAGTAACTTCCTTAAGACATAAAATGTTATGTGGTACATGAAAACATTTTTGCTTACCTCAAGCCACCAGCCTGGCCCTGAAATTCTACAGTTTCTACAAGTTCCGGCTTTCAACCCTTTCACACATCCAGTTCAGAAGTCTCCAGTAACTTTTGTTTTCCCCTTGGAATTTTTCTGAAGTTTTCAACTTTCCAAGGTCTCCTGATCCACCCCTTAGATAATTATGTTAAAAAGGCTCACACACAAACAAAGGCGAGGAATAGTATTAATTCATTCATACAGCAGTCCCCTTCTGAATAAAAACATACGTACATTTAGCATTCGCAAATTGTGGGGGAGGGAAAAGAAAGGAAGAGGGGGGAAAGTGCCTTTGGACGGCAGGAAGTGGGAGGAGACTTTTAAAAAAGCAATCTTGGGCCAGGGGCCATTTCAGAAGTAAGAAGATTTTCTTTTTCTAAACCTCAACTTCTTTTCTGAGTATGGAAAATGCAAAAAGCAAGAAGGTAAATACATTTTTGTGGCTTTGTTTTCTGTCTTTATGAGTCTTTTCTGTCTTTGTGAGTCTCACCATGAGCGCACTTACTCTTTTGAGAGTTTAAAAAAAAAAGTGCCTTAGAATTTTCTTCCCTACACTTGACTTTTTAAGAAGTAAAGTTCTAGATAAGATTGCAGCCTGCTATATTGGAGTGAGGAGATAATAAGAAATGGGTTGCCTGTATTGGTTTTGAAGAGGTGCTTTATCCTGTCAAAAGAATGAAGTATCAGGGCTAGAAAGAAATAGTAACAGGAGAAAAAGGGAGGTGAGGAAAAGACTTTAGAAAAAGGCAGTTGACTGAGGCTAGGGAGATCCTTTAATTTCTCTTCCACAGACATGGATCCTAAACTAAAGGTGCTGGGTCTGAGCTCGCCTTTTTTTCCCCCCTGGGGTTGTTAGAGCCAAGAAATAATTAGAAGCCACACATACTGATGAGCACTGCAGACAGAAACCAAAGGTGAAGAGGCTTTGAGGCTTAGTACTGTGGGGGCTAAAAATATTAAACTTTTCCTCCTACCTTCTAAGTTCTTCTGGCTGGGCTTATAATCAAGTTAGCGGAGACAGATTAGCAGGAGAAAATAAAATTTTAATACATGGGCATGGGGAATTCACATGAGCATGAAAATTCCCAAAGATAGTGAGGCAACATTGACATTTTGGATAAAATAGAAAAGGGGGGAGTAGTGGGATCTTAGATTCATAAGTGAAAATGGGCAATTTACAGGTAGCTGAAAAAGATCTGAACTTACATGGCAGAAAAATCTTTGTCAGGCAACTCAAACTATGGGACTCGGGGATATCTTTCCAACACACCCCTGCCCAAAGCCCTCCTATTTAGCACACTTAATTCAAATTAGACCAAAATGAACATCTTAAAATCTCCTTCCTGAAGCATGTTTCTTAGACTCTTGGGAAGGAAAGGGGGGAGGGTCAAAGTTCTTTTTGAGTCTTGTTTCTTAATAAACAGCTTAAAATCAATATCCCAAAAAGGCAGCCTCAGGGTGGCAAAGTTTGGTTTCTTTCAGTACAGAAGAATTGAACTCAGCCAAGGAAACATGACCACTCTCCAGGGCCTCTTTCCTAGATTTTTGCCCTCTCAATTTTAAGGCTTTTGTGAGGCCCAAAAGTATTTGGGAAGAGAGTTTTGCAAATGTAAAATCTGACTATGAATGTTAAACTGTAATAGAGTTGTATGAGTGCCATACAAATGTTAATTTGTCCCACCTTGATGGATGAGGGAAAGGCTTTAGATTTGGGAGCTAGTTGACATCGTTGGATTTAATTTTATCTAAAATGCCTATCTGTGTGTCCATAGTTATGTAACCTCTCATTCTCAGCATTTCAAAAACAAAGTAATAAATTGTCACCAGATGGCTGTGAGGTTTAAACGAAAGAAAATAAGGAATGTGTTGAACAATACCTGATAGAAGATAGAAGCTCAACAAATGTCAGTTTCTCGAATTACCCAACATTATCCCAACTGTCCTCTTACTTATTTTGGTTTATTTTGATTCAATTAACCAGTATGTATTGAGTGCCTACAACGAAAGGAAAAGAAATTCTACCCTGTGGGGCTTACAATCAAATGGAGTAACAGACATTGATCAAATCCCAAGCAAATGTAAAATTGCAGCTGACAAGTGGTAGCTATGAGGAAATACGTCGTAGATTTGACCTGGTCCGCAAATACCAGAAAGGGTTACCAAAGTGAGATTCTAAAAGAGTACGATTTTAAAATATAAATAGAAGTGGGTGGGTGGAGGAAGCCGAGGGAAATCGCTTTAGGTCAAAGTAACTGGGCTGGAAAGGAATGCTGTGACTGGAACTTAAGTCACTGCAGACAGAAATTAAAGGTGAAGAAGGAAAAGAAGCTGGAATGGAATATACAAGGCTGGTAGGTTGTATTAAGGACATTTGATTGTCTTCATATTTCCCTGCTAAGAACAATAAACGGAATGGATGTATAGCATCCCTCGGGGAAACATTGATTTGGAACAGGTCAAGGATAAAGAAATGGGGGGAAGAAATCTTCCAGGTGAGAAATAAGGATAATGTAGGTGATATAAGGGCTTCCTCCAAAGCAGAGCATAGCTCCCTCTATTTTATTTGTATCCATATTTTCTGTCTTTTCTCATACATTCAAATCCGCCTCCCATTTCTCCGTTATTGCTTCGCTATCTTAGATAAACCTGAGCCTTAAGATGATTCCCAGAGAATGCACACTGCCAGCGAGTTCAGTGACTGTCTTGGTGTCTTGGGTGTGGGTTACCTTCAGGCAGGTAATGTACTGTGGTGGGTCAGGCACCAGAGGAATGACTGACTGGCTCCTCTGTCCCCAGCGGAACTCCTCAAAGAAGTCAGGGGAGGGGAAAAAGTCTTGCAAATCCCAACCGGGGCAAGCTAAAGAGAAACATCAGACTGCTGATGAGCCAAGTGTACAAAGAACCTCTGGGAAGGAGACCAAACGAAAGAGATCTTTGAAAGAAGACAAAGGTAAGAAGAACACAACCCCTCAGATCCCATTGCCTTGGGTTTAAGAAGCCTGAGGAATTTTTCTGGGGTAGGAAAGAAATGTGTGCCTCTCTTCTGCAAATCCCACACTTCACCTTTGAAGCCTAGCTTCAGTCTCACCTCCCTGAAGCCTTCTTCCGGTCACCTCTTAAAACTTGTTACCTCCTGTCTCCAAACTCCCACAATACATTTCTTTCCATCATCATTTTGCTTTCCCTCTGACCAGGAGAAAATTCTGAGATGTCCTAAATTACAGGCACCTAAGCGTGAGAGAAAGACAGAACTGTTAGTCTGCTGATGGGCGGGGGCCAGCTAAGAAAGGACGATTCATATTCTTTCTGTTTGTTTGTTGGAGCTTGGATTAAATTCCCAGTGGCTATTTGTGCAAGTAATTTTTTTTTTAATTTTATTTAAATATATCTTTATTGATTTCAGAGAGAGGAAAGGAGAGAGAGAGAGATAGAAACATCAATGATGAGAGAGTCATTGATCGAGCCCACAACCCGGGCATGTGCCCTGACCAGGAATCGAACCCCGATCGCCTGGATCCCAGGTCAATGCTCAACCGCTGAGCCACGCCCGGCCGGGCGATAGAGGAGTCTTTAAACAGAACATGTGGCCCTTAACAGGAAGCTTAAAGTAAAACCAAGATAAACTGGGACTACTAGCAGGAATACAGGGAGAAAAAGATCAGTTAGCTCTTAGTTCTATTCTAGCTCAGTTACTAATCACGCCCTCAATCGGGGATCAAGCTGGCAACCCCGGCATGCTCCCTGACCGGGAATTGAACCCCGATCCCCTGGATCCTAGGTCGACGCTCAACCACTGAGCCACGCCCGCCCGGGCTGTGCAAGTTATTTTAACCAAGGTATCATCAAACTCCAGGAGCCACAGCTTTTTCTTTACCTGTGGGCTTTCTGACTCTGCGCCTACCCCCGCCCTGGCCCCACTTCACTCTCTCCCACCCCTTTGCCCACAGCTAATGTAAATTCTTTCAGGTGGCTTACATCTTTCTTCCCTCTCCCCGCTACTTAATGTATGAAAACACCTGTAAACTCCCAAGTCCATGGCCATGTATGCCTTTTCCACCTTAGCTAGGCCGCTGATGGCTTGGACTTCATGCCCCAAGACCCATCTTCTTTTTAGCTAGCATTTTTGGCTCAATAAAACTTTTCTTTAAAAAAAGACTTTCAGCTGTGGAAATTACAATTTTTGTTTTAAAACTAACTGCTTGGAGTTAAGGACCTCGATGTGCAATGATTTGGGACAGACGGATGTAAGTTTGAAATAACATTCTTGAAACTCCACTTCCTGTTTTTTAAATCGAGGATAATACCTACGGGGCTGAGTCGGGATGGGGTGGAGGGTTGGTTGTAGTTTACGTGGAATGATTAGGTGAAATGCCTGAACTATACCTAGTGATTATTAGTGTCGACATAACTGTGTGTTCTGTAGCTGTGTTCTCTAAGTCTTTTCCTGAGTGGTGTGTGCGAGGTGCCGCGGGAGACCTGTGTGCCCTGAGAACAGTGCTCCCTGATGGGGTGGGCTGGCAGATTTGGGTAATAGTGGCTGTGCTTGTAGCATTGCTGACTGGTTTATCTGTTTTGTGGGAAGACAAGGCATCACTGAGTGTTTATGATCTCAGGTCTAAAACTTTTCTCATTCCCCTGGAATGGAAGTACAATCTCTAGGCAACCTCCTTGGAGCCTGTGGGTTAAGGAGCTCACAAGTGTGTGAGGGACTTTTAGGAAATAAAACAGTGAAACTCCGTAGTATTAAGTCCTAGGTGTGAGGTCTGTCCCTTTGAAGTTTTGTGGTCTTTGGTAAGTCATTTAACTAAAATGGGAACTGTACTATGATAACTAAAAGTGATTGTACTTTCGACATTTTAAAAGGTTGCCCAAAAGTTAATTATTACTAATTTTATCCCATTCTTTTTCAGCTTCCTTTCCACAAAAGATGGCACAAGACAATAAAAGAGTAAGAGTTCACAAGAAGCCACCAGTTCCTCCACTGCCCATTAAATTGCCACCAGTTAACCTGCTTCACCGAGACATCCTGAGGGCTTGGTGCCAGCAATTAAAACTGAGCACCAAAGGCATGGTGAGGGCCAGGGTGTTAGACAGTGCTGCTGGGAGGAAGGGTAGCAACCTTACTTTGATTACTAACTCATTTTTCTCTTGTCTTAGAAATTGGAAGTATATAAGAGGCTGTGCGAACATGCTTACCCTAATCAAAAGGTGAGTAATTTGTGGGAAATTTGGCAGAGTGGAAGCTTTAGTTTCATCCTAATTACCTATTTTAGTATGAAAAAGTAGTAAAAGAATTTTCCTAGCCCCTCCACTTCTTCTAAGAAGGCACAACTTCCTTGTCTTCACTTTTCACCAGCTCTGCAAAGAGTAATAAAAATGAGGCTACACCTTTTTTTAAAATATGGTTTTGTGGGTTTTTTTAAATATATCTATTGATTTCAGAGGGAGGAAGGAAGAGAGAGAGAAACATCAATGATGAAAGGGTCGTGATTGATCGGGTGTCTCCAGCACGCCCCCAACTGGGGATCGAGCCTGCAACCCGGGCATGTGCCCTGACCTGGAATCGAACCTCCATCTCCTGGATCCTAGGCTGACGCTCAACCGCTGAGCCACGCCCAGCCGGGCTTAAATAAGTTTTTATTGATTTGAGGGAGAGAGGAAGGAAAAGAGAAACATCGAGCAGTTGCCTCCAGCGCATACCCCAACCAGGGATCAAACCCGCAACCTGGGTATGTGCCCTGACCAGGAATCGAACCATAAACCTTTCAGTGCATGGGACGATGCTCAGCCAACTGAGCCACACCAGCCAGGGCTTGGCTGCACTTCTAATTGCACTTTAATCTTTCCAACCCTATTTGTAGGATTTTCCTGACACAGCAAAGGAGGCCAAAATGTTGACAGTATCACAAAGGAAATTGAAGATGCGAAAGGAGAAAAAGACTCTGAAACGTTTGGGTCTTCCTGAAGTGACTGCACCCCTTGAGGAGGGGATGCCTGGTCTTGAAGGGGGTGCTACTGCTCTCCTTGAGGGAATGGACAATATTTTCGTGACAACTTCCACCCCAGATGCTGTGTTTGCCTCCTGGAGCAGAATTGCAGCCACAACTGGGAAGGTGGAGACCATGGCCTTGCCACAGGAGGCCTCTGGTAAGCCCAATATCAAAGTTGGTTCTGATTCAGATGAGGAAATAAGTTTAATTGATATTACTCTCTGATCAACTTTAGGGTGTATCAAAATGACCTGAAGGGCTGGCGATTTGTGCCACCCCAAACCCCCCTCAGTTTCTGGTTCAGATCTGCAGTAGGGCCTGAGAACGTGCATTTCTAACAATTTCCCCGGCCCTGCTGATGATGCTAGTCATGGTGCCACCACTCTTTGAGAACCACTGCTTTAAATTATTGATGTCATCATGAGGGGATGGCAATCTGTTAGAATTAATTTCTTTCCTCTTGAAAGAATTAGAAGGGAGGGTTCCAAAATCAACTGCCTGAGCTGAAACCCTGGATCTTCTAACATCCATTGAGAGACGTTGACAAATGGTTTCAACTAGTTCCCAGTTTTCTCACTGTAAAAGGGGTTAAGAATACTTATAATGCCTACCTCATAATGTTGTAAGAATTAAGGAAGAGCATAAACTGGCAAGTTCAATAAACTGCCTGTTGAAGTGTTGACATCCCTGAACCTATTTCATGAAGACCATTTCAGAGCTCTGGTTTAGTCTTTTTATTGAAGGAAACCAGAATAAGTCATCCACAAATATACCTCTTTGACATTTAAAAAAAAAAAAAAAACTATTTTGAGAAGGCAATTAAACTATCTCAGGAAGAAAAAAAAACAGCCCCGGCCGGGCGTGGCTCAGTGGTTGAGCGTCAACCTAGGATCCTGGCTATCAGGGTTCGATTCCCGGTCAGGGCACATGCCCGGGTTGTCGGGCTGCAGCCGATCAATGACTCTCATCATTGATGTTTCTATATCTCTCTCTCCATCTCCTTTCCTCTCTCTGAAATCAATAAAGATATATTTAAAAAAAACAAAGAAAAGAAAAAAAAACAAACTCCCCCTTTCCTGCCAAAAGGTAAGATATAAATTCTCCTTTTGCTTGAGACAACTCGTATCAACTGAGAGATGACACCAGAGGAACCTGCAAGCAAATCTTATTCCATTAGTGTCTTCCCATATATTTACCTCCCCACAGTTTGCCACCCTTTGGGGCCTAAAACTGCTTTCCCTTGTCTTATCATTTCTCCACAAATTTATTGTTCTTTGTAGAAAAAGATATACAGGATGGAATTCTAAGCCTCCATCCTGAGTTATTTTTTGTTGTGTTTTCTCCTACATGGTGTGCACTGCTACGCTGTAACACATTACTAAGCTGTTTTTCTCTTATTAATCTGTCTTGTTAAAGAGTCCCAGCTGAAAGCCTAAGATGACGGATGGAGGTAAAGTTTTGCCTCTCCTACACCACCATCTACCCACTTGCAACTATACCACTTCCAACTATAGTTTTTCTTTTTAAAGTTGTAACAGGAACTGTCTTGCATTATTTTCTAAAGGGAACGGGATAGGACAGGTTAAGTTAGAATTCCAGGGCTCATATCTCAAGAGCTAGCACATGAGAAAGAATGAAAGGCTGTGATGCAATTTCAAACATGATAAGATAATTTGGTCTTGCTCTGTTCATACTTCTCTTTCCTTCCCCAGGTGTCATGTGGTGTGTGGTCCATGGACAAAGTCTCCCTGCAGACACAGAGGGTTGGGTTCAACTACAGTTTTATGCTGGGCAACCCTGGGTTCCTGAGAAACAAGGGAAAGTGTGTGCACTCTTCTTGCCACCTTCTTGCAACTTTCCACCCCTACACCTGGAGGACAATATGTTGTGCCCCAAATGCATTCATAGGTAATTACCTAGTGCTTTTCTCCAAACTAAAAGTGGGCACCTAGATTTTGGTTGAGGGAGAGGAGTTCTAGAGAAACATATTGATAATTACTATATCTCAAGTATATGCATTACACAGAAGAGATTTCTTTTTTTTTAATCCTCACCAGAGGATTTTTTTTTTTCATTGCTTTTCAGAGAGAATGGAAAGGAGAGAGAGAGGAACATCGATGTGAGAGGGACACATTGATTGGTTGCCTCCCGAACGCACCCCGACCAGGGCCAGGGATGGAGCCCGCAACTGAGGTATGCACCCTTGGTAGGAGTAGAACCTGGGACCCTTCAGTCCACAGGCCGACGCTCTAACCATTGAGCCAAACCTACTAGGGCCAGAAGAGATTTCTTAACATGATGGAAGAACTGACTAGATGAAAAGCAGTAAGGTCATTTTTCAGTATAGGGACCAGGGCCAAGGCTGTGAAAGAACTTAGGACAACATAGAAATTGCAAGTAGTTCAGTGTGGCAGAATATGGTGGGAAATACACCTCTGATTTCTCAGTTACAAAATGTACATAATGGTGCCCATCTAAAGATACTGTGAAAAATAAGTAAACAAGAAAAATGTACGTCTGCAAAATTTTTCAAACACTGTCTGTCAGTTGGACAGACAAGGAGTCAAGTCTGGCAGCTCATCCCTGGGTGATGGGCCACTGAAGGGTTTAAGCAGGTAAATGGACTGAGGCTTACATTGCAAGGAGGGAAGGGTGTAAGACCTATTAGAAAAATCTTGTGGGGTAATTCAGTTTTTCATGTTTAGTGAGCCTGGCACCTTCTATAGGTGGAAAAAAAAATCTGGCATCTAGATAATTATTTGGTGGTTATTTAAATATTGATAAAGATAATAGTTGCAGTGGGGCTGAGCACAGAGCTTCAAGGAACAGCAGTATTGGGGGGACATGTTAAAGGAGGCAGAAAATAAATGAGGAAAGCTGGATGGAGTATGAAGTTCAGGGGGAGTTTGCAGGGAGAAGTTTTCTTAATCCCAAGTAAAGCTTGAGGAAGGTACAAATAGTATACTTGAGAGATTCAAAGCAATGAAGGGTATGCAGAAAATTTGGTGTTGGTTGAATTGGGGAGAAAAAAACGAGAGACTGCAATTGAAGGTATTTTCTGAAAGTACAAATGGAAAAGAGGAGCAACAGGATGCTTAAAGGGAATTTTCGTTAAGGGGAGGGAAGATGGGAAGGAAAGAAACCCTCCGAATAGAGGAACTTGGTGCAGCCCGTCTTGGCTCCGAGGGATCCTTTCCTCCACCCCTCAGTCATAAGGAACCGCCCTGGGCTCCACCTCGAGTTCTCTGTTGTCCTGCTTACCCTCCACCCCTTGGGGTCGTGGTCACTGAACACCAGAGATCTGGCACACCTGGTAGAGGGTTGCAGTCTGAAGGGGGTGGGCCTCTCAGGCCAGTCTCCTCCTCTATCTAGGAGTGGCAGCCCCCTGGGCCCTGGCTCGGAGTGTGTGCCTGTCTTTTCTGCTTCTGGCTGTCCTGCTTCCGGCCATAGTTCTATGCCAAGAAAGTTCAATGCAATTGAGGTCACTTTGGATAGCTCTTTAGTGACAGACTGGGGGAACTTGGAAAATGGTAACCAAAAAAAAAAAATTTCACTCTGAGGCCATGTTAGACATAACTTGGCTGAAAATGCCATTCCTAGAGGACCTGGTCAGATGCCTTCCACACACTATGCTAAAGTTTAAGGGCAATTTTATTGGCAGTTCAGCAGTGGGATTCTTGATATTTCATGTGTGGTTTTTAAAAGATGACTTTCTTTTGCTTTATAGGAATAAAGTATTAATGAGAAGCCTCCAGTGAGATTATAATGCCAAGAAAAAGTACATCTATGATTATAATTAATGGTAGAAAGGTGGCTACAATCATCCATGGTGCCACTGACAGCTGAACTCCAGGCCACTGGACACCTTCCATGCTCCCCGCTTACAGGCCCACAGACCAGTGGGGAGCAGATGTTACCTTCAGACTCCTGACAGTGCCTGCTGGGATATAGACATCTGTGTTTTAAAATGGACAAGCATTTCACAAATTATCATTCATTGCAGTTAAGATGAAAAAGTCATTCACATCGTCCGATGATTACCCATCTGAAACAGAAGTGACCCCAGCAGCTCTCTCACAGCAGGAATCTGAAGCAAATTTTGTGAAGGGAGTGATGTGGAAGCAGGTGTGCTCCTGCCAAAGCTGGACTCCAGCCTCTGAATTCTGAACCCTTAAGGGGCTGCTGCCTCCTAACTAAGTTGAACAACTTCTAACTGCTGACTACCTTAAGCCAAAGGAAAAGCCGTTATTGTCTCCACTCCCCCAAAACACCTTCTTAAGATACAAAGCGTTTTTCAAAGTTTTCTTAACCTGAGATTTCTATGGTGTGTCTCTGGCATAAAAACACAGGGCACTTTGCCGGTGTTATTTCCAGTTGTAACTGTTTTGTATATTTTTGCTGTTTAAAAATGCTCAAGGTTACTTCTGAGTCATAAGTACATAATATGTTTAAAATGTGTATGTAAAATAATTCATCTGCTGTGTTCCGTAAACTTTGTTGTATGCAAATTGTTAATGCTCTTAACTCAGTAAGATTAAGCCAAAAGGCATGATGATTAGTGTTCTTTTTTTTCCCCAGTGTAATAAATAATATACACTTTATCCCTTATTGTATGTATATTATTTTAATTTTGTTTTTTTAACTTTTTCCCTGTTTACATTAGATTGCTCAGGTTTCTATTTTCCTTTCTCTCTTCCTTTATTTGGGAATTTTACTTTGCTTTCCAGTTCTGCTTATGGATAGCTCCCTGTTCTTAACACACTAAAATAAACTTAAAATTCTCTTTAATAAGTCTTATTCTACCACTAAGATTATTTATTTACCCCTCCTTATTGCCCCTGGCAGAATAAAATCTCTAATTGCATTCTCCAATCCTCCCTAAAATCCACAAACCTCCTCCTAACTATAAAGGAGATTATGTTTAGAAAATTGAACAACTGTAAAAAAGGGGAGAGAACAGTAGTTTAAATACATAGTGTTAAAGGGTGTGTGTGTGTGTTTTATTTTAAGGGGAACAGGTTTAAAAATGTTTGTGTGCTGGTAGGGCAGAACTTGTGAAAAGGGATAAGTAGAAAACTCAAGAAGGAACAAGTGACAGATGGGGCCATGAAAGGGAGCAGCCCGCGTTTACTTTACTTGGCCTGAGTCCCCACCCTTCTTCATCCGCAATCCTCAGATAGCAGGGCAGTTGCTAGGGGGTCCAAACATTTTTGACACCAATGTTCAGCCTTGTCAAGAGAGAAACATGAACTGAGCTTTCCAACTCCAATACATTTAACACATTCCATTTGTTTTATAGGAAACAGATCTGGATGAAATGCATTCAATATGCAGAGGAGGGTGAGGAAGGACTTGGCTTGACCAGCCAAGAACACAGCTAAGGACACAAATTTGGGCTAGAGCTAAATTTGGGACACTTTTTTTAAAAAAAAAACTTTTTAAAATATGTCTTTATTGATTTCAGAGAAAAGGAGAGGGAGAGTCAGAAACGTCAATGATGAGTCATTGATCGGCTGCCTCCTGCACGCCCCCTACTGGGGATCAAGCCCGCAACCTGGGCATGTGCCCTGACCGGGAATCGAACCGCGATCTCCTGGATCCTAGGTTGATGCTCAACCCCTGAACCACGCTGGCCAGGCTAAATTTGGGACTCTTATTGGAGAACCTATGACCAAATCAATTCTCTGTCCAGCCATCAAAAGTTGCCCTCCCCACTCCTCCCAGTTTTCTGCTCCGTCCTAACCCCACCCTCTGAATGGAGTAGGACAGACTTTACTGGTCTGGATGCTGAATTTGAGATCCTCCCAATAGTTACTGTTGTGCATAGGTTTAATATGATTTCAAACCCACTTGTTCATGACTTAAGTTGTTTTAATCCATTTGTTTATGACAATAACAAAGACAAAAAATTATTTTTCTTTAGAAGCAAAGCTGTTTTGACATAAGTAAAGTAAGGATGTCATCATTCTACATCTGTTGTCATTGATAAGCAGTCAGCAGCCCAGCAGCTAAGGGGCCCCACGGGGGCTTATGGATATATACAAGCGGAGAAGCAACTATGGCAAGGCGATATTTATTTATTTATTTATTTTTAAGCCTCACCTGAGGATATTTTTTCCATTGCTTTTTCAGAGAGTGGAAGAGAGAGAGAGGAATATTAATGTGAGAGAGACACATCGATTGGTTGCCTCCTGCACGTGCCCTTGGCCAGAATTGAACCCAGGACCATTCATTCCCAGGACAACACTCTAACCACTGAACGAAACCGGCTAGGGTGGCAAGGGGACATTTAGACTAAATACTGAGAGTTTATGAGGAGTATTTGAGAGTTTAGTTAGATCTGGACAAAGTGACTCTTCCCTAACCTAAAAACTCTCCAAACACCCTTGGAGCCTCCTCTCTTGCCTTGCAAGGGCATCCCACCTAGGTGGTGGTGATAAACCACCCCAGCATGCAGGTGACAGACATCAGTTTGCCTATTAACACTGAAGTCTTTGTTCCCTAGCAACAAGCTCTAGCAACAGGGAACTTTTGCTTTTGTGTTGGCAGCTGGAAACCAGCTCTAGCTTGGATGCCATCTCTCCGAAGTGCCTTCTAGCACAAAAAGGCACACTTCATACTAAATGTGGACTTATAATTGTAATTCCCACGGAGAACCTGGGTTAAATAAATTGCTGGCAAAGACTATCCAGTCTCTGAGCACAACATTTGCTGTCCTTCAAAACAAAAGACAAAACAAAACACTGTTGCTTCATGATTCAGAAGAGATACTTTTCAAAAGAGAAAAAAAGAAAAAGAAAAAATGCCCATTTAGTCTCAGCCAGAAGGTTAAGATCTGTAACTATTGCTCTAAAGTAGAGATTAGTTCCATAGTTCTTTTAAGTGGGAAAATTCTTGAAATGAAGGACGTGGCAAAAGTTGGTAACATCTTTCAGTGCAATTTCATTTTCCTCCTCAGAAAACGAAAGAACTCAGTAGCCATCCCTTCCACCTGGAAGCGATACTGAACCATAGTTTCCCAAGTGCATCTCAGAACCTTAGGTTTCTGTGGGTGCCTTAGGGTTTTATTTCTCAACCAGAGTTAGTCCACTTTTATCTATTACATATTGGTGCACCACAAACATTTACCCTTTAGAGCATGTTCCTCCAATTTTTTTTAAAGGATTTTGAAAATAGAATGCATTTATAAATACTTAACTTATATATAGTAAATAAAATATATTTGAAATAGGTAATGCATTTTTATTTCAGAACTCTGTTATTGAAATAAATATTAAAAAACAAGTGTTCCACCTGGATGGCGTGGCTCAGCAGTTGAACATAGACCTATAATCCAGGAGATCTTGGTTCGATTCCCTGTTGGGGCACATGCCCGGTTTTTGGGCTAGATCCCCAGTAGGGGACATGCAGGAGGCAGCCAATCAAGGACTCTTATCATTGATGTTTCTATCTATCACTCTCCCTCTCCCTTCCTCTCTCTGAAATCAATAAAGACATATTTTTTTTAAAAAGCAGCAAGTGTTCATAAATAATTTTTTTCTTTCTTTTTAATATCTCTCCCTGCAGCCTAGGTTCTATATATA